GGTTATATAAAGTATCATATATGCATAAAGATTTGCATATTTTTCACCTTAATGCTGCAAACATTATGTTTGCTAAAAGTTACTTGACAAACAATTAAAGTACTGCGCCTGGACAAGTGGAATTGCTGATTGTTTTCTTGTTGAATCTTTTCTTAGCTCAACGGAAAAATGTTGGGCTGACATGAACCAAAGACCTTTCTTGGATATTCTCAAGAGGCTTGAAGGGATATAGAAAAAATGTACCCACAAATCATCATTGGCATATATTCAATACATAACATTCAAGACCCGATGAGATCAACAACAAACATTCCATTTCCACTGATCGACTCCGGCATGCCCATTTGTGTAGATGGATGGCATGTGTAAATAGACTCAGTATGGCTTGTGATAGAATTTTCCATGACTGGGTTTCATCTATCCATGTCATCCGTAGCAAGGGATGAGTGTTGGATATCAGTATACATCCCATATTTTTCATATATTTACAAGATCATATTTTCATACCAGGTTTTGAGCATGTTCCGGTACATGTTAGATATAAATATTTCATTGAAAATCAAGAGCATGAATACATAGGTAACAAGGACAACTAGTACAGCTTGCCATTTTGTATCCCACTACCTCACTCCCTCCCCAAACTTCATCCATTATTAAAAAGGCACATTTAACAAAGATCTATGTCAAAATATCTTGCACGAGTACAACATAAGAAATGAAAATCTATGGTCCTACAAACTTAAATGAGTTTCTTCTTCTCGAAGGAGGATTTCAAGTGCCAAAACTGTAATCGGCTACCGATAGGGAAAGAAACAGTGAGAGGAACGACAACCAGAACATTTTGGATGTTGTAGCTTTGTTCAGCTCCTGCATTTCTTCTTCTCTGGAAATCAACAATCATATGCAGAAATAAGATTTCTTCAAGATGAAGAACTATGTTGCAACAACTGATAAGATGTTTCCTTACTTTTCCCGCAAATAAAACATTTCCTCGTGAATGGATTGAACTGTATCATACAGATTCTTCAGCTCCAGTTCCATTGCCTGGTAAGCATCAAAGTAGGTTTATTTCCCAATGAAGGGAACTCTTAGAGATCCGAAAGCAACAGGAACACAAAAAACCCTAGTGCACCTAATCGTTCCTAATTAGCATGCATCAAAGACTGCAACAATCTTTGCTATCTATCTTTATGTCAATTTGCTTATTCTATCGTATACTCCATCAGTACTCTTTCCTTCACAAAGATCTAAATCATAGCTAAGGAGATGACTTGGGTGCATATGGAAAAGCAATGCTTTAGTTCTAAGCAGAGAAAAACTAGGACTTTTATTGGAATAGTATAATCTCGCAATCGATATCCAGTTAAGGGTTAGCACCTTAAACTATATTCTCCGCGAAAAAGCTGCAAATATAAAAATGTAATAGATTGTGTGTGCATCTACTTTACAGAAACCCAATCCATATCTCCAAAAATTAAGCCAAAAACGGTGAAATTTTCATAAACAGTATAGAGATAAGCCTAGTGTACTTCATTATCAGCATCTAATGCTAAGCGAAAATCGCCAATCTGATGAAGTATCAAAGATAACAAACCTTGACCATGGAGCAAAAGCAGTACTTTTCCAAAAGACACCAAGACAGTGAGACGCTTTAGCATAAGCAATTTGGGTTAAAGTCATTTTTCGAGTAGTTCCATAGTACTAAAATGCAGCCGTGACGTAACCTAATGGCTGCATCATAACATTTTTCAAGGTCAATGGGACTCCGCAATCACATCCGCATTTTATAAACTTTGCGACTTTTGAGAAACATATCACGCCGGCAACAAACGTCATAACTTGCATAATGTTTGCAACCGCATTGGTAACAGACACCACAACTGCAATTTAGTATGATGAGTGGTCCCAATTCACAAAGACGACTTTAATGACAATTAGAAGAAACCTAGTTAGCTTTTAATATTTAGAACTACAAGAAGCAATCGAAATCTCTTCATTTTCAACTGTGTTTCTCAGCTATTGATTTTGTTTAAACTAATGATTCTAAATCAATGCAAAACTAAAGAATTTTATAGGAAGTTAAACCCTAAACTAGAAACAACAAATTAATGAAGCAAATTGGATTATTTTTCCTTCCGTTGAAGGGATTGAAACACTTACATCGACTTGGCCTTTCTTGGCAACGTTAGTCCAATCCTTAGCGTGGACACCAGTCCTCCAATCGAAATCAACGGTCACCGTGATCTGCGGCGAATGCTCCGGCACCCAAAAGCAAGCCATGTAATCTCCTTGCTCCGCCGCCGTGAATGCAAACTGTCCACTCTCCACCTTCTCCGCCGAGTGATAATTGTTCTCATACGACGACGTTACCTACAACAAATAATTTTCAGCTATAACTTCATTATATTGCTCCCAAATTTCAAAGCAGAAAATTAAAGAAGATTTTTTTTTAAATACCTTGACGGTGAGCTTGTGAGAATCAGGCAAAGGGTGATCTTCGTTGGGTTTAACAACGTGGTACTTTCCGACTGTCATTGAATTGCTTTTCATGTCTTCCGATACGGTGGAACAACGATTCAGCAAAACAGAGAAAGCAAATCAGTGGCTGCAAGAAGAAGAGGAAGAGATCGGAAAAAATAAAATTAAAAATTGTGAAAATAATAAAAAAGAGGTCAAAGTTAAAAAAGCTACGTGGTGGGATAGGATTGGAACAGACACGTAAACTACGAATACTTTTAGATTCACTTAGGCTTGCTTAGCTTTGTCCTAAAATAGTAAAATCCCAGATGTTGTCTTAAAGCTTCGCTGTCCTATCTTTAAAAACTATTTTTTCTTAATTCAATCAATTTTTACATTATTTAATTTTAATTTTTAATCCGTCATATCAGTGATTAATAATAAAATTAAATAAAGTAAAGAATAAATTAAATATTTAATAAAAATAATACACTCGTAAAATTAAAATATGAAGGTAAGTTATAAATTTTAAAATAGTATATATTTTAATATATTTAGATTAATAATAATATATTTGTTAATTTATTTTAAAAGAATTATATAATTCATTAATCGTAGATTTTTTTTACTCAAAAACCATATTAAAAGATCATATGTTTTATTGATTTATTGTTATTATTTAAACAGCATTTAAAGATGTATAATGATTTTTAATCATATTCATAGTGTTAATCTATCAAAGAATTGCCTTGTTTTTATTAACGAATTTTTATCAACCGACTATTTGTTACCGTTTTATCTAATCATGAGTCCATCTGTTATTGATCGTAGTCATGAGTCCATGCTTCATGTGGTATTCTTGGGCTTAGCTGGGCGACCCTTCATCATCTCAATGTTGTAGTTCTAGATCATCGTTGCCACAGTCGCCTTCATCATCGTAAAAACTAATTCCTTCACTGGACAAATCCTCGGCCCTGCGCAGAATGCCGGGAACTGGAAATGCGGCACACATTTAATCTCTCCATTCTTGGTGATCAAAATCTCTGGCTTGAACTCATGCAATCATCTCCCCAAACTGATCTCATCCTTGCACTGCAATCACGATATTCGTGTCACGATAGATCCTGTGGTCGCTTGGGAGTGTGTTGGCTTCAACAGCTGTTCCACAGTCGCAACATTTTCGCATAATGCTGCATGTCGATAAACTTTTGGATATTTCATATCTGATTTTAGCTTCAATGGACGAATGCTTGGCGACACCATAGAAGAACCCGGCTAGAACTGAACTAGTTGTTCCACCTCCCCCTACAACTACTTCCTCACCTCCACCTTTACAGCCATAACATAAACTAGTATGAACTAACATTCCACATATATTATAGAAGACGGCGCTTTTCATATTTGAGTTAAGCATACCAACAAGAAGTGGCATATTCGAACTAATAGCCACCATTCATCATATATTGCCGGCTGCAACCATACATTACCTGATCTTCAACAACAACCAAAATCCTTTTAGCATCTGCCCTTGTCATCATTAGCAAAGGCAGATTGTAGATTCGAGTACAAGGGTTGAGCTTTGAAAACTCAACTCGCTGAGACAATATCCCATTATCGATCATGACCCTTGTAGGGCTTTGTGCATCATACTCGGATTCACACACGTTGGATCACAGTCTAACATTGTATCCAATCAATAAAATAATTGAAGGAAACACAAAACCTACCATTGTAATATGAGCACACCGTGGGTCTCGTGTCAGAGTGCAGAATGAAATAGCTGAAGATTTAAGTGCTACAATAAGCTAAACTTGAATTAGAATGCATTTGAATAAACAAGACAAATGGAATCATTTCCTCGTAACACTTCCTTATGCGGATTCACAGTGCAATGCTTGCAAAACCTTCAAATTCCTCATTCAGTTCTTGAAAGGTTGATCATTAACTATCTTTTAACTGAAAAATGGAATAAAACACGTACCTTACTGTCAATAGGGGTTTGAGTGTTCTTCGAAAGCTATGAAAGAGTCATCGGCTACCCGGAGCATGAAGAAAGATTGTTGTTTCGAACAATTCAGGGTCAAAACATGAATCAAGTCATCAACCATGACTAAAACCAACAAGGTTAAGGTCTGTAGTGTTCCTGGAAAGCTGTTTAAGAGTCATTGGCTAACCAGAGCATGTAGAAAGATTGCCTTCTCGAACAATTCAGGGTCAAAACTTGAATCAGCCAGTGACTAAAATCAATAAAGTCGCTATTTCAGAGTCATTGGCTAATCACTGCATGTTGAAAGATTGTTCTTTCAAGCAATTCAGAGTGCAAAACTGAATCAGCCAGTGAATAATCAGCAACTTCAAAGATCATTTCTATTTTCTAACATTAGAATTTCAAAGTTACTAAGTCACATAAATCAATCATGTCTAAAGTACTCCTAGCTGTGTTAGAAGTAATCTAAACAAGCAAAGATAATTAATAGACAAAATTGTTTGTTTTAGTGAACTAATCACCCTCATTATTTTACATTTCTCATGAATTTCCTTTCCTCTATCTCAACATTCTTTTGAAAAAAAAAATAAACCACTACCAAGAAAAGTACCATCTTTTGCCATAAAAATGGCCCAATTCACCACTAAAAGCACTTAAAATTCAAAATCCCAGGAAGGGAGTAAAATAATAAAAGCAGCCACCTCATTTTTTTCTCCAAATCCTTCATGCATCCCGAATTTCGCTCAGACTCTTCTTTAGCTGCCTTTTCTTTTTCCAACTCCCTAATGGCTTCTTCATGGGCAGCCTTCTCGGCTCTCAATATTGGCTCATAGTAATCGGCGTGATCCTCCATGCATCTCCTCAAAGCAGCTGTTACTGCCATGCATTTGGCGGCGATATAGTCGTCGTTCTTCTTGGCTTCGTCAACGCAATTTTCCCAAGCCACGAAGCTTTCTTTGCAGCCTCCGGCTTTCATAAACAAGCAAAACCCACACTCTCCTTCTTCTTCTTCTCCTTCCCCTCCTGAATTCGATGAACCACCGTCGGGTCGATCAGGCTCTGGGTCAACCGGGTTGTGGTCTCGGGTTGAAGGATCTGAAAGGTCTCTTGGGGCTTGGGGATCCAAGGATTCCGGGATTCGGTGAGATGGAACCGGATCGAATTCCTGAGTTAAGAGTTTGTGTGAATCGCTGTCTGCTGTTGAAAGAAGGCAGCTCCGCTTAAAACCTCCTAAAACCCTTGAGAAAATCTTTTGTTTACTTTTCACAGGAATAAATAAGAAAATTAGCGAGTAAATTGAAAAATTTTACACTGTAGTGATCAAAATAATAATAAAACAAAGTTGAATGATGAAATTTATAATTTTCCCTTAAAGATATCATATGATAATCTCACAGAACATGATGATGATCTAAATACAAAAAAAGCCTTCAAATATTATTGTGACACCATATAATACATAAACACGATATGATCATACAAATTATCAAACTAGTTGGGATTATTAATGCAGTTGGATTGCCTTCCAGGAACTGGATTTGGATCGGCTTAGGCTGGGTTTCGGTTTCGGTTTCGGGTTGCATGGTACTAAGAAAACCTCTGGATGCAGATGTCAACGGTGCTTAAAGCTTAATCATCCTTTCTTGATCCCTCTTCCTCCTCCCCATCATTATAGTTGAAAGGAAGCGGAACCGATTTGAATGCTCGATACATGCCAACGTTGTTCAAGTGTTCATTCTCTATCCTAAATCATACAAACACAAAGGAATTTCAAGCATGGTGACAAGTAATTTTCAGACGGTGGTGAAAAATGTAAGAAACTATACTGGTTGCGGTACCTGAAGAAGCTCCACATACCGCGCCGAACGATTTCCAGACACGAAACAACAGTTGTTACTGCCATCCTATGAAGTGAATGCAGGTTGAATTCCAATACCAATTGCATCCAACTGACTCTCAACACGATATCCAGGGCCTGCTATGCACCAAAAACATGCAGTTATTAGTATCACCATCGATCTGAGTCGTTGGACGATGAAATCGGCATCGGTATTACCATTGCTGCAAAGTAGACACTTTTGTACGGAACCAGAAGTTTATCTCTCAGGTAAGGATTCTTTGAATGCCTCCGTAAAAGTCCCCAGTCGTGGACGATGTCCCAATATGTACTGATTACTACTACAACAGCTGAGCTTACCAGGGACAACACTATCCAAGCCATTCCCTTCTTTAGTTCAAAAATACCTCTAATGATGACTGCAACAATTGTCAAGATGTAGTTTATACTATTGTATGCATGCATTGCTTCTTTTTCCTCAAACCATCGACGGATGCACTACAAAAACGACCGGTGAATGAATGCATTCGTACGAATGTTTCGAGAATCAAGAACTTGAGGGGGGGGGGATGGAGTAATACCTGCCAGAAACGGAGCCAGTATGGTATCACTGCTATGACGATATAAAGAGCATTGTACACACCGTGGCCATGGCATTTGCTTTGCCGTTGGGACCGTTCTCCTAACCCGTAGTAGCAAATATAAAGGTCAAGACTCCTTATAGCTTGGATCTGAGATAGACGATGATCGGAAACATTATCGAAACTACACATTTACATCTCTACTTCGATTAAATTCATAAATACGACGAGAAACCTGGCTGGTAAGATGATCTGCCAAGAAGAAATCAGGAAGTGTAACCTACAGGGAGATGAACAAAATTCAGATCCAAGATTATTTCAGTTGCCATATCCCCATATCCAAATAGTATTACTGTGATCCATTTGATTACCCTGTAAAGTGGTGCGCAAAGGCAGCGAAACAAGGATTTAATAAAGAAGAAACGAGTCGAGCGATATGCTATGTTGAAAGGACAAAACAGTATGATCAGAACTATCTGCAATGTAGAAGAGAAATCATGGGATGTAGCTTTAAGCAAGTATAATGAGTCACTTCTTAATACAATATGTACATATGGTTCTAAAATCTTACTGCAACTAAGCCCAGAGGGAAAAGTCCAGTTAATGTCTTCAAATTCTGAGTTTTCGAGCCCAAATCT